TCTCTCTCTTCTCTCTTCTCTCTCTCTCTCTCTCTTTACTCTCCTTCGCTCTTCTTCAGCGTCTTCTTACGTATCTTCCTGCTGCTTAAACTCTTGTTCCTCCCTTCGCTATCGTTGACCTTGCAGCATCAGTGACCTCCCATGCACTGCCTCCTCCCTGGCGCACTTGGCAATGGAACAAAGTTTCGTCGGAATCTCACATCTTTGTAGCTCTTTCCTGACAAACGGTTCGCGTCAATTACCGAACAGTGTCCGTTGCCTTGTTCTTTTTATTCTGTCGACATATAACCCATACTGGAAAGAAAGAATCACTCGTTATTTTTTTTCTTTTTTTTCACTTTTCTCCGAATGAACAAAAAAACTCTTCTCAAGTCAGAATCCCAAAACATAACATAATAAAAAAAGGGGAACATTAAAGGCAGAACTGAACATCTCCCATCGGAAATGTCTAACCTTGTGATATTTCGTTATGTGCGATTTCCACCGCCTCCGCACTAGAGAACGCTATACACAAAGCGGTACGTTTTAATGAAGCGACTACGAAAAAATGGCAGTAGCGTTTGAGCACGAATGAACACGTATTCTCTCAATAGAAATACGAATTATGTTGCGCCATTGCATTCTATTTATTAGGGTGGATTATTTTCAAGGGTAACGAGTCAGTCTTGCTTGTTATTAACAAATAGAGCATAGACTTACAACAGAATGTGAATTTTCAACGCACATCATCCAACTACAAATGTAAGGTCACTATAATTAAACATAAAGAATTAAATTTTGACGGGAAAAAATGCATTTCATTCATGTTTAAACTAAAAAGTCAATAACATGCGCAACTTAATCTCCTAAAACATTGCAGACGGGAACGAACATTATCTTTTTTTTTTTCTTTTTTTCCTCGTCTTTTGTAATTATAGTTCGTGTCTTGTTTCTTCACGTGTTTCGAGTACGTATTTTACAACCGGTTTTTCATCAATTTTTCAACGATTTTAGAGCACAAATTCAACTTTTTCCTACCTCCGCTCATAGTATGCATTCTAAAGCATCATCTCCTTTATCTCCTTCACCTTCCAGTCTCAATATATATATCGCCAAAATATAAAAAAAATATTAAAGATAACAGTGACAGATAAGAGTCACTGTTCCAATGGCTTCAAAAAATAATTCAAATAATAATAATCGATCTCACGAGGGGCTTGTCGCATAAAAAAATATAATCAACATAATTGAGAACTTGTATAATCCAATGGAAAATACAATAGCTTCTATTCTAACCCTAACAAAATCTATCCTCAATGGGTGTGGCTCGAAATCATGTTTTGTTCATGACAGCCTTTGAACAATCGATTTTTGTTTATCCCTTTCTATATATACGTATTCTTTTTACACTGTTGTCTAGTTCATGAGATTGCTAACAGGGAGAAATGCAGTACTTGTTAGTTTTCAGCATTTATCGATCAGCGAAACACCATATTTCCCTGGTGATCATGGTGCATGGAACACTATACCCCAGTCCGTAGAAATATCCACACAGTCATGAGGTCTGTAAGTTTGTGGATATACCATAAAAACAAAATAGCAGTCAAGAGATGAAACCATTATAATTCAATTTGTAATAACAATTTTGACAATGATAATTCACTCAAATCACGCAAATTATTTTCATTGCCTGTGTTTGTACATCACAGTCCATGACAGTCCAATAGTTCACATTTTTAATCTGGTTATCATTCACCAGATAAGAATATCAATCAGCTGTTAAATATTTGTAAATTCCCCTGCCTCCTTAGAGAAACTATGTCAAATACGGTTCATCTCATCACCTTCTTCGCTAAATAAAGTCATTGGTGAAAAGTTAAGTATCTCAGTACATTTTTCTGTATAATGAAACGTAACTACACACTTGTTTTTGGGTTACATTCAGACGTTTTCTAAATTCGTTTTTTCGGCCTCTCAGCAGTCGACTGTCAAACCGAGTTGACAACATAAACACGTCGCTTAGACTTCGTTTTCTTGGCGGAAAGACGTCGTAGAAAATGGGAATTTATGGGGAGTAACTTTTAAAATTCTCTCTCTCTCTCTCTCTCTCCATCTCATCTCTCGGGATCTCTCAGCTCTCTCTGCGTCTCCTCTCTCTATAGTATATATATAATAAAAGTGATATATAGTAGTTAGAGGAAGGGAAGAGAAAGGGAGTTGGGGGGAGGGGAGTTTTAGGATATGGTGAAGGAGGTGAGGAGGGAGTGGAAGGGAAAAGGAGGAAGAGGGTGGAGTATACACGGAGAGTTAGGCGGAAGGAGAATAGGAGGGGAGTAGGAGGGAAAGAAGGAAGGGAGGGGAGTGGAGGGGAAGAAGAGAGGAGGGAGTGAAAGGAGAGAGAAAGAAAAATTGATAGATGTATAATAAGAAGAGTAAAGGAGTTAAACAAACGCCATAGGAAGGGAAGATAATGGGGAAAAAAGGAAGGAGAGTAGAAAATATAGTTAGTCAGGAGGGATTG